AATGTTTGTGTCCCCCCAAATTCATAGCCCCCACGGGCTATGGACATGGGGCCTCTAAAGAAGTAGTTAAGGTTAAATCGGGTCTGAAGGGTGAGGGCCTGATCTGGTAGGATTCATGCCCTTAGGAGACACCAGACAGCTCACTGCTCTCTCCATGTGGATGTACCAAGACAAGGCCATGTGAGGACAGTGAAAAAGGTGGTTGTCTATATACTAGCCAGGAAGAGAGCCCTTACCAGAAATCAACCATGCTGGCACCCTGATCTGGACATCTGTTGTTTAAGCCACCAGTCTACAGTATTTTGTTACGTTAGGCTGAGATGACTGTCCACCTACCTACCCAGAGTGCATGTGCAGATGCGACAAACTTGCAACACTCAGGGAGTACAGGTAAAACTTTTAAGGAAGTTCTCTGTATTCTTCTCACAAATGCTGTGCTGCTCTTGCAACTTATGCGTGAAACCATGTTAAACCCCAAAAACTAACCCTTCTCCTGCTTGGGTGGTGAGCACTAAGTTGCTGGGCTTTGATGGGCTGCAAGTTGTGCTCTCCTGGTTCCCTGAAGGAAGCATCTTTGGTTGAGTCATAGCCCTCCCGGCACAGGGCTCTTCACGTCTATCCCAGAAAGTCATTGACGGTGGACACAGACCCACCTTCTGCTTTCTCCTGGCACCCACCGTGTGGTCCACCATCTCCTGTGGTCCTCCCTGCAAGAGTCCCACAGTTGTTTCAAGAGGACTCACATCTGAGATGCTTCCTCAGGAAATTTGCAGTTCATGTGGTGTCACAAATGTGGCATATTAATGGCTGTTAAAATTGGGGAGCAGGTCCCCAGGTTTAGTAGGAAAACTTCAATTATGTTTACTTAACTAGTGAAAAACACAAAAACAAAACCCTGGCTGCCAGAGGCAGCAGCACTGGCCCCTACTGACCAAGCCTTTTCTTTGGCCCTTTCGAGAAGAAACCAATGAATTCCTGGGGCTGCTGCATGACTATGTGTCCTCCACTAAATAGTAGTCTCCTAAGAAACTCAATTTGCTTTAAATCACTTGGTTTCAGTGTTTCTGAAACCCTACAGCTTCGCAGCGTAACTGTAACTTCTGCCCAGTGTGTATCAAGACTGGGGCTGCTCCTTAGGGCTCTCAAGCTTTGTGCTTTTCTACCACTCCCCTTTGTCCTCATACAACACTAAAGATACCAATTCTGAGAAATATTCTGGGAAACTCTGTCCTGAAAGTCCCCTCTAGGAAGCCCCAACACTGGGGTTCCAGTTAAGGAACCCACTGCTCTCAGTCCATGCCAGTTCTTGTCACACACCAGCTGACAAGAACTGAGCGTTGTTAGTGTGAATACTAGGCTTTCCCCCTCAACATTAAACATTAGCCGCATATTCGTCATGTCAGGTTTCACATTTTCTTTCTTTCTTTCTTGTTTTTCTCAGGTTTTAAGGGATATAGAAAGATTTATACCTGCAGGTTTTCAAATCCACTTGAGACCAGGAGGTCATCTGAGGACAAACAGTATCTTCACTGCTTCAAAACAAAACTAAAATGGTAATAACAGAACCTAGCACGAATACATCAAAATCACAACCCCTGCACCCCTCTCCGTCTGGCTTTTCCACAGGGAGTGCCAGAAGGCATTCACATGGGAGGAGCTCTCCTATGTCCCCATTAGGGGCACTTCTCAGGTGCACCAAGTAGAAATGTGGTTACACATCTTCTCTGCCTGGCACTGTTTCAACAAGTGAAAAACTCTGTGCAACAAAATCAAATTTTTAGGCATCATAGGTATGTAGTTTCCTAAACGACTGTGAACACAATTAACTCAGAACAGTCTGCACTGCAAAGGGAGACTGTCAGAATATGGAAGGCTCTTTCACAATCAGTTTCAAACTTCTCTTCTAAGCATCCTGTTTGTGTAAGTTTCCAGCTAACCTGAGTGATCAAGTGTAACCTGGAGAAATAAGCTCTAGGGTGCGCCATCATGGCCATTGGGTAAAGCTTTGATTTTCTACAAAATAGGAATGGAACAAAAACATTTAAAGTCTTATCCATCTTAGTTTTGAATTAGGAGTCCTCCAAGTTTAATATATATCTTGTGGATTCTGAAAAACACCATATTTCCATAAGGAAAGCAAATGTAAGAGTAAAGTCATCAAACCCCAAAACTGCTATTAACCGAGTTCTTACTGTTACCAAATTGATTACGGCTGACAATATGGTCTGTGAAAATCTGCACATCACAATGGCCCTTTCCAGCACTCCATCCAGGGAAACTTGGTTAAGCAATCTGAAAACAGGGTGACTTGATTTCTGTGGAGCTGCCCAGGCAGCCACAGTGACTTGACTTGGGAGACATCTATGCACAGTTCTCTATTTTAAAGCAGTTTTCAAACTGTGAGTCAAGATGACCTGGAAGCTCGTCGTTCCCATTTGCCTGCTGGGTAGCCTTGCCCGCACCTCTGCCACATCCCTTACTGACCAACTGCATCCCTGTCTAGACAAAAGCCTCTCAGTATCCAGGTCTGTGTCCCCTTACCTAGGTCACCTGTGGTTGCACAGAGCCTCGTGCTAAGGGGTCAAGAGGAGGAACTGACACAAGCAACACTATTTACTACTGGCTGTTTACCAAGTTTTCTATTGAGTACATTAGTATTATAGGGAAAGGGCAAAACCAGCCTTCTGACACTGGAACCTGGCCACCTGAATGGTTTCACTGTACCATGCTCAGTGCTGTGGGAAGATGGTCTGAAGCAACAGGAAAGTTCTTATTCCTAGCATTAAAAAGCACTAGGTAGCTGGGCTTGGTGGCTCAGGCTGTAATCCCGCGCCTTTGGGAGGCTGAGGTGAGTGGATTGCCTGAGCCCGCGGATTCGAGACCCGCCTGGGCAACTTGGCGAGACCTCATCTCTACAATAAATCAAAAATTAGCCGGGTG